GATGGAGTGAACATTGTTTTATATCTATGTTTAAGGTCCTCAAGTCTAGATCATTCAAAAGACCTGAAATAGATGAATATGTTGACTTTTAAAAACTGGTAACTCTTTTCTCCTTTCGCTCCTTGGTTGTTTCACTTCTATCCATCTGTCATCTCCGTGCCAGTAGTAATTTCAAGTGCACTCAGCTGCATGCTTCCTTCCTACCAATCTGGGGCTTGGCGAGGGTTGTAAGATCATTCAGAATATCTCGCTTTTCAATATTCTCCTGCATCTATCCAGTTTAATAATTGTCATCCTTTTCATTCTTCCCTGCCTCCCTCTCTGTCTTGCTCTCTGGCTAGCTAGGTACTGTTGTCATCGCACCTATTCCTTAGAAGTAAGCCGACTCTGGAGAAAGAAATAAGCTCTCTTTACTCTGAGTTTTCCTTACTGGTTCAGCAATACAACAGAAATTTGTATGTGGTTTTGTTGTTGTTGTTTTTTAATGAAAAAGGCTGATTCATAGCTGATTAGCCATGGTAAGACGGGACACGTCTTAACATCTTCCTAAACATCTTCTGCAGTAGCAGTAACTTGGAGGGACCCAGAAAAGAGTATCTGGTAAATTTTAATTCATGCTTTTGATGTTGACATAGACCGAGGCTTCTGGTTCAGTCTAATATACAACCCTTGTGTTTACAATGTGTTTCTAAAATATTTTATACACAAAAGCCTATGCTACCTGATTATTATAAGAGTGAAACTTTTAAATCAGCCTACATGTTTTTAAATAATCTATTGGACTGGGATAAATCTTAAAGTGGAATGTTGTGCAGATATCTTAGAAGTGTATATGAAGATACTAAAAATAGTAAGAAAAGTTGTTAAGTGAAAAAGCAAGATAAAGATACATGGGCATACATACCTCCACTATATAAAATATAGTAATTAAAACAATATAAAACTATAGTGAAATAGTTGGCAAGAAAGCACCTCCTGCAGAGCTATCGTTAAGTATAGCTTATCCTTTTTATTTCTGTGCGTACTTCTAGGATTTTAAAGCTTAGTATTTCACTGTTTACAAATAGAAAACTTGCCATAAATCTCTATAAAGCTCATTTCTATTTGATTTAAAAGTATGTCAAGACAGATAGTCATTCATCCATTCATTCTGTAAGTATTTTTTGAGTACCTGGTAGGTACATCAATTTGGGGGCTGAGGAATTAACAGTAAACAAAATAATAAAGTCATAGCACCTATATTTTAATAGTGATAGTAAATTACATTAAGTCTACATCCTTGCAGCCAACTTCAGAGGATATTTCTTGTTGAGTAATTATAAGGATATGTTATTCATTATTGTATACTTAAATTATTCTATAGGAATTTTTGACAATTTTCAGCATTTCTAGATACAATGATAGAGGGCTGTGTAAAACAGCACAGACACCACAACTGCCCTCCTCTGACTACACGAGGGAGGCAGAAAAGCAATCAAACCCAAGGCTGATGGCCATCGGGGAGAGAGCAGACAAGCCTCCACCCCCATCCTTCTTCACCGTATTCTGATGCCAACCATTCCACTCAGGATACTCTCTCTCTTCACCTGGGTTCAGTAATCCATTGTATTGGCCACATAGAACTCACAGGCAATACTCAACAGTTAAGGGGATTTATGAAGGAAGTTAACAGATTACCGCAAATCAGGATCTGTACACCGTGAGGATGCAGTCATTGGTCCCCAGCAGCACCTTCCCTCACCCAGTCGGCAAGTGTCTCAGTGCTCAGCCCCTCAGCCATAAGGTCCCTTGGCCTCTGCCTCCAGGCTCCTGCTCTGTACCATGGCCTCCTTGCTCAGCCTCTGGACTAGGTATGCCGTAATCTCTGCTGCCCCTGCTGCTTCAGACAGGGATTTCAAACATGCTCTTCTTCCCTGGTGGCCCTGTAAATCCTCTGTCTGCTTCCAGGATGGCTCTTATACACAGGTAGGAATGACTTTTATGGAGAGGTAGTTTTTGTGTCTCAGTAGACACAAAGACATCCCTAAGGAAACATAGGGTGATTTCTTGGTTCACACCCTCCAATAATAGGGAGTATCAGGATCCCACCATAATCTTGTCCATTAGCATAGCAGAGAATCCCCTCCAAAATAAGATTACAACCATGGGCATGGAGGCTTGAATTTATATCACATTGTGACTAGAAGGGCCATCTTAATTGAATACATCCCAGGATCTGTAAAGTGTGTATCACTTTTCGATCACTTTGAATTCATTCATTCCTTTTTGTGCCCAGTGAGACTTGTATATTGTGCTGGCTTTACATTATAAAACTTTTCTAAACTGCTTGGTTTCTTCTTCCTTTGCTAACAGAACAAACGCCGAAGGCTGAGGTGGAAGAGAGTGTACGTAGTCCTCCCACTCTCTTCCCTTGCTGCTTGCCCTGCACGTGCTTGCCTTTTCTCCTTCGGACACTCTTCCAGTGGTCATGAAATTGAGCCACACACACTTCCTGGGCTTTGAACACCTAGGGCTGGTAGTCCATCCTCCTCACCTCACTGTCATCTGTATGTTTTTAGGTCACAGTAAATGTCACTTCTTCTAAGAAGGCTTGTCTCATTTCCTCTAGCAGGATGAAGCACTTCTTCTCTGTGCATCCACAGAAAGCCAGGCTTTCTTCTTTCCATCAGTAGCACTTACATAATATTGTACTTGCCTGTTTGATTAAGAGTCATGAAAGCATACATATCTCATTTGACCTTTGGTCTCTCATGCCTAGAATATATAATAAATAAAAATTATTGAATGGATGAGTGGCGATCTCGGTTGACATGACATGGGCGGCAAGCATTTCATTTCTTAGCAGAATAATTAAATAAGAAAATATGAGACCACCCAGCATGGGGCTCGAACCCATGAACCTAGGATTAAATCTCATAGTCAACCAACTGAAATATGGGTGATTGTGTTATGGTGATGGTTGCATGATATAATAGATGCTATTGGCTTTGTGAATTGACAGGAAAAAATGCTGAACTTGAAAATGTGTTACCTATATTTTACCACAATAAAATATATACCTTATAACTTTGAAAATAAAAGTCATTTAATTGTTGTTGTTTTTTTGTGCTCTATTATCTTCCTTCCTCTCCTCCCTCTCCCCACTCCTTCCTTTTTTTTTTTGGTCTGTATTAGATGCCATTAATCTTACCGAAGAAGTGGAGTGGGTCAAATTCAACGTAGACATGAGTGGCTATTATATTGTTAACTACGGAGCTGAAAACTGGGACGCACTGATCAAACAGCTGAAAACAAATCCTTATGTTCTGAGTGACAGAGACCGAGCCAGCCTCATCAACAACATCTTTGAACTTGCAGGGTAGGCTTGGTGGTTGTTGTAACAGGTTTGACTGAGTGGGGAACACATTTCAGGGGAGCGGTTAAAATGAACTGACACATGTTACCTGTTAAGTGCAACTCACTTTGGAAGGTAAAGAGAAATGTAAGACATATTCCTCATCTTCAGTGACTTTATGGTCTATTTAGAAACATTAGCTACAAACATACTGGACAGTTAACACAAAACAAACTTTAAGTAATATTTTAACACTGTAAATACTGATAAGCAGGATATATATTTTGCTGAATAAATTGATAAAGGCATTCAGGTTTCGTTTTATTTCTTGAAAAATTTATATTCAGGCAGCACTGTGCATGACCACACAACTTAGTGTTTTTGTTCTGTCTATCTGCTCTTGACCTGACCATTTTGGTTCATTATTTTAAAAGTGGCCTTCTGGTATCTTCTTAGCTGCAAATGACTTTTACAACATGGTGAATTTTAAATGGGCTTACCACTAAATGCCCAGCCCCTTTCCCTTTATCAAGTGTAAAAAGCACAACACAATCCCCCTCTCCCTCCAATTCTTTAAATTTAAATTTTCTTTCCTTCCTCACCTCTGGTAAATATGAGTAGTTAATAAATAAACAGAAACAATACTAATTCATCTTTTCTAACCTACAACATGTATAGTACATTTCTTGAGTTGGTAGCTATTTACAGATAACATTGGGTTTGATGTGGTTTGAAATATAAAATAAAATAAAATTGTCCTTTTAACCTAGGATCACATGAGCTTAAAGTTAATAAAATCTACACATTTACAGAATGTCACTCTGAACTTAGATTTTAGGTCTTTAAGATTCACTGCTATGAAGTTTCTCTCGGCATGCCTGGAATGCATCTGCCTGTCTCTACATGTTTACTTTTTGTCTTTTTCTCATCAGCATTGGCAAGTTGTCACTTCACATGGCCTTTGATTTGCTTGATTATCTTGGAAATGAGAACTACACTGCGCCCATCACTGAAGCCCTGTTCCAAACAGACCTCATCTACAACCTCCTTGAAAAGCTGGGGCACACAGATCTGACCTCCAGACTGGTGGTATGTCTTCCTTTCTGCCATCTTCTCTTGGTTGCAAAGTCTTCTGTTCAACCCGGGATAGGTTGAAAAAACAGCAGCCAGTTAAATTCTATGTTCTCCACTTTCCTAGTTGGGGAATTTTTTCTTTGGATCAAAATGCCATTTGCATACTCCAAATACTTGCTGGAAGTGATGATGTAGTCTTGTTGGAATAGCAAAATATAGACTTCCATCACATCAAGGTTACATGACAAGAAGATGCCTCTGTTCAAATTTGGGTTAATTTTTGCACAATGGGTGCTTGAAACTGGTTTTTTTCAGTCTTCCCATTACTTCCTCATTAGTAATAAGATGACAGTTATTTATGTATTGAGAGAATTCTGTTGTAGAAATTTGTACTTAGACCTCTTACAGATTATGATGTGTGCAAATACGTTTCCCTGCAAAGCTCTATTTTGGAGAACACTTTGCTTTTCTTAAAACCAGTTGCATGATCTTAAAGAGTATCAGTATTACTGTAGAGGGAGATGGGAAAAAGGGAGGAAGGTGACAGAGCCAGCCAGCCAGCCACTGGAAGTTTTGGTTTGTTTAAAATGGAGAGTACAAAATCTATCTGAAATATGTGAATCCCCACCTGATTGACAGTAAAAAGGGAGTGGGATCTTTAAAAGCTTCTGAGTTAAATGATTGGTTCTATGTTTTTACCTAATTTTCGGAATCAGCACATTCAATTAGAACATTGACCTGATCTGTGAGGTTTTACAGGAACCCAGGCAGGAGTAGACTTCAGGAAGCAGAAGAACGTATTGATCCAGAAATTAGAACTATTTTTTTGGCTTTCTCACAGGTGAAATAATGAGGGGGTTGAATTAAGTCTCTTGTTTTATAAAACAATCTTCTCTCTACTTCTGTTACCGACCTCCTGCACCTCTCCCTGAGCTCTTATCACAGGCATGTATCTCAATGAGGATACAGAATGCAGGCAGGTGGACACATGATCTGAGAGCCTTGGTGGCACAGTGGACTTGTGTTGGGCTGCCAACCACGAAATGTGTAGTTTGAAACCAGCAGTCACTCCTTGGGAGAACGATGAGGTTTTACTCCTGTAAAGATCCATAGTCTTAGAAATCCATCGGGACGCTTCTCCTTTGTCCTGTGGAGTTGCTTTGAGTCAGAGTTAACTCGATGGCATTGAATTTTTGGACACATTCTGGCCCATAATGACACTCAGTAAAGGCTTGTGAAATGAATGAGCCACACTATTAGTCTAGACACCGTGCTTGGTGTTTGATGTGTATTAATTACCATGTTTAATGCTCATGCATTGTGTACACTACCTCCTAGTAGATAAATGAAGGGACTAAATAATATCCAAAATCCCTTACCTAGTATGTTATAAAACGGAGAGTCAAATCCAGATGATTCTGACTTGTGTTATATCACTGGATTTTAAATTTGTGTTCTAGCAATGACATCTTTCAAAGAATACCTTTTTATTGAAGCTGTTTCTTTCTTGGCCTTTTTTTTTTTTTTTCCTTACCAAAGATTGTAATTCTTGGGACCTCTCATTTAAGGTTTAAAATGGCAAACCCACCTCTATTTGCACTCTTGAAAATGAAGTTGTCAATTTCCAACAAATTCTGATGGTGGTTCTTAGACAGCTTTCACCTTTTCTTCATTTATTATATCGTCACCTATTGGCCAGTTGTGAAGCTTTTCATCTTCCTTACATTGAGTTGTAATCCATACTGAAGGGTATAGTCTTTGATCTTCATCAGCAAGTGCTTCAAGTCCTCCTCACTTGCAGCAAGCAAGCTTGTGTCATCTGGATACCACAGATTGGTGATAAGCCTTCCTCCAATCCTGACACTGCACTCTTCTTCATATAATCCAGCTTCTCTGATGACTTGCTCAGCATACAGATTGAACAAGTGTGGTGAGAAGATACAACCCTAATGCACACCTTTCCTGATTTTAAATCATGCAGTATTCCCTTGTTTACACAATTGCCTCTTATTCCATGTACCAGTTCCATGTGAGTACAATCAAGTGTTCTGGAATGCCCATTCTTCTCATAGTTTATTATGGTACCCACAGTTATAAATGCCTTTGAATAGTCAATAAAACACAAGTTAACATTTTTCTGTTATTCTCTGCTTTCAGCCAAGATCTTTCTAACATCAGCAGTGATATCCTTTGTTCTACTGCCAATAAATTAGATTTCTTTTTATATCCAGAATGCTAATAGCAGTCTCTCTCTTCTGCTCCCACCCCCCCCCCCCACACACACACACACACAATATTTATGTGCATTTCCACGAAGGATGAACTGACTGGTCTCTTTAGGGCAGACTTAAATCCAACATGTAATTCTGTTGACCCTTTGTAACAGACAACTGTGAAAGGAGAGTCTTTTGGTTTGGAGCTATTAGGAATAGCATTGATGTTGATATTCTTAAACATACATTTTTGTGAATATTTCTATGGGATATTGTCCTGGTAAGGGGAATACTGAGCCATACATTATATATAGTAAATATTTTTCAGTTTTCAAAGCTGTACAATTTACACTATGACCAACAGTTTAAAAAAAATTAGGTGCTCCATATCTTTACTAATATTTAGTATTTTGGGTGGTGGTTTTAAACTTGATTTTGAATAGATGAATGTTTACAGAGTAAATCAATTTTCCATTCAGTAGTTGATATGTATTTTGTTTCATGTCATTGATTGCAATCCTGCAATGTAATGTCCCTTATCTCACTTCTTGGGATTTCCTGTTTTCATTCCTCCTCTTTTCCTTATCCCTATGAATTTTGTCCTTGGGTAAATGCTGCTCTTTTCGTCTCTGATAGTTGATTTGTCTGGGGAGTGAGTACCTCTCTAGTGTTATCGTTCTTAGAGACTTGTCTATTGTGTGGCTGAAAGGTGAGCCATACAAGTCAGTTGTTCAGACCTGAACTCAAGTAACAAAGGGCCATAATCGCAGAGGTCCTACCAGTCTCTATCCAACCAGTACGGATGATCTCTTTCATGATTTTAGATTTTGTTCCACAGTTTTCTTCCACTCTATCCAGAATCTTTCAGTGTAATACTTTTGGGAGCAGGGCACCACCTAGTTTTTGTGGTCTCAGGTTGTGGAGAATAATGTTAGTGTTTTTCCGTTAGTCAACTGCACTAATAGTTTATATGGGTCTTTGATGGGTCTTTTGTTTCCTTAGAACAGGGAAAAACCAGTAGTACCTTAGATGGCCATGCAAGAACTGTTAAGGCCCCATTCACTACTCAACAAAGTAGGATGTAGAGTCTCTTTGGACTGTATTATGCCAATTGAGCTTGATGTTCCTTGAGACTATGATCCTGAGCTTCCAGGCCCAGGGACTCATTCCTTCAAGGTTATTGGTTATGGCAAGTTGTCATAACAGAACCCCCTATATTTTGTACCACGTTTATGATTGTATTTGCAACAAAGGTAAATATGCGTGTACAGATATATTTTGTCACACCTACACATATTTGTGGGTGTGCTCTCATTCTTCTCATACCTCCTTAGCCTATGTGTCTATCCACTGTAGTATGTGTACATAACAATATTTGCCTCTGCTGCCTTAACTCCTAAACTTCTCCAAATGATTTTCCCTATTAGTTCTTGTAAATTGTTTGTTGACCTCTGTTTTATACGTTGCCTTCCCTTTCACCCAAATCAGTATGTGTTTTTCGTCTAGTTACTAATTTGCCCTTGTTTCTCTTCCCACCCGTGCTAACCATACAGTAATTTTCCTTTTGATGTAAAAAGCATTTCCTGTTTCTGTTTTTTTATAGTAGTAGTCTCATGCAATATTTCTGACTAATAGACCTTTCTGACTAATTTCAATCATATCTTCCAGGGTAATCTTTATAATTTGTTGATATTATTTAACTTTGCATAATACTCTGTTTTGTTTAAGTGCCATAGTTTATGTAGTGTATTAATAGGTTATTTCCATCTTTTGCTTTTGTGAATAGTGACTCGATTACCATTTGTGTTGCAGCAATCGTTTCTGAAGAATATATACCAAGTAGTGGGATTGCGGGGTCATATGCCAGTTCTATTAACAACTCCGTAAGGACGCACCATACTGTTCTCCACTGTGGTTGCCCCACTTTACAGCTCCACCAGCCGTGCCTGACGGGCTCAGTCTCCCCACACCCTCTCCAGCATTTGTTGTTTGCTGTTTTATGGACTGTATTGTTAATGCTGGGGTGAGATGATATCTCATAGTTATTTTGATTCACATTTCTCTAAGAGCCAATAATTGCAAGCATTTCTTCACGATTGCTTCCACCTGTCTTTTTTTAAAGTTATATTGACATCTAATTCATATATCATACAACTCAAACGTATTATAAAGAGTTGTGCAATCATCACCACAAGCAGTTTTAGGACTGCTTATGCCCTGTACCCATTTTTAAAGTTTCATTGTTTGACTGTACTGTTGAGGTGTTGAAGCTTTCTATAAATTTTAGAGATTAATTCCTCGTTCAATATGTTGTCCCAAATTTTCCCTTGCCTGTGACTTTTCTTTGTACACTTATAATGAAATCATGTGGCTCATGTAAGACATTATATTCTACTCATTCTCTAGTAATATTCTAATCTGAGTTTTTTACATTTCCATAGCAGCCTTCTTTTTGCCTTTCTGTACAGTTTTATTGGCTCTTTATCCATGTATCATACAATTCTATAATTAAATCGAATCAAGAAGAGTTGTACAGTCATTACCACAATCAATTTTAGAACATTTTCTTCTTCCTTGTACTCATTTACATTGAAAACTGTAATTTTTCTTAATTGTAGCAAAAAATATATACACAACAAAACCTTCTTCAGTTCGACAACATCTGTGTGTAATTGACTGTCATTCGTTGTATTCTATGTGTCCTGCGACTGTTACTGATGTCCTTTTCCAGTCAACATAAACTCGAAGCCTCTTCAGCACAAACTTCCTCCTTCACCCATGCAAACTATTGGTCAACTGTGG